AACCGCCACTCCCAGCCCTCCATCATCTACCACAACCACCACTCCACTAACCACCACTCCCAGCCCTCCATCATCCACCACAACCACCCCTCCACCAACCACCACTCCCAGCCGTCCATCATCTACCACAACCACCACTCCACTAACCACCACTCCCAGCCCTCCATCAACCACCACAACCACCCCTCCACCAACCACCACTCCCAGCCCTCCATCATCTACCACAACCACCCCTCCACCAACCACCACTCCCAGCCCTCCATCAACCACCACAACCACTGCTCCACCAACCACGACTCCTAGCTCTCCAACCCCCAGCCCTCCATCAACCACCACAACTACCACTCCCAGCTCTCCAACCACTACAGTGACCCCAACCCCAACGCCCACCACTTTAAGCACAGAGCCCCCCACACCCACCGGCACAACCCCCATTGCTCAGTCAACCACATCCAAACCCCCACCTGAGTCCTCAGCTCCTCAGACCTCTCGGTCCACCTCCTCCCCTCCCACGGAGTCAACCACCCTTCCGAGTACCCCATCACCTGCCACGAAGACAACCAGCATGGCCCCACCTTCCACACCCACGACACCCACGGCCACCACGACGGGAGGCCGCACGCCATCCCCACCGCCCGGCACCACCACGGCCCCTCCAGGTAAGTAGAGCCGCTGGGTTCTTCCTGCCTGTAGCGCTTCCTCCTCCCGTGTGCCTGGCGGGACTGTCCCAGGAAGGCTCCAGGCAGGCTCTGGGTGCCTCCCTGCTCACCAAGCCCAGTTGCCGTGTGGCAGGAGCCGCTGATATGAGCCAGCCAAAGCTGGCCAGCTCTCCCATGGGACGGCCTTCTTCAGGGGCCCCGCTGTGTGACGTGGCACAGTGGGAACCCACCAAGCTGCAGGGGCAGAGAGAGGCTACCAGTGAGGGCCTGCAGGTCCCCCTGCTTCCGGCTGCATGCCCTCCTCAGGCCTTGAGGCCCCTCCCTGGCAGACGGCATCCCACAGCCAGTGCCTTCTGGATGCCTCTTGCTGGCAGTTGGCGCGTCCAGCAAGCTGTGGTGCTGCCGGAGCGCCAGGTCATCTGCGGGCTCCCAAGACGCTCGGGCGTGGTATCACCAGCCCTGGCGGTCCACGTCCCCAGTGACTCCGAGGGCCTGGGAGGTGGGCGGGAGGCCCTGGCCCTCTGGTACCGCCACCCGCTCGGCCATCTGTGTCCCTTGCAGCTGGGGAGTGGCAGTGGGGACCCCGCGGCAGTGTCTGTGATGTGCAGCGCCTCAGCCCTCACTCGTGGCCCCAACTCTCACAGGCACCCCCACAGGAGGCACCACAACTGGGTCACCTTCACCTACCACCCGCAGCACTGCACGGACGACCACCAGTGCCTGGACCCCCACGCCCACCCCAGTCTCCACATCCAGCATCATCACGACCACAGGGCTGGTGACCGCCACCGGCACTACGTGCTGTGTCCTGAACGACACCTACTATGCACCAGGTACTCGGGCTTCATACCCTGCACTTGGGCGGCCGAGGCTGGTTTTGGACCCGGCACGTACCGATGGGTCAGGCGCCAGGGCTGAGGTCACAGTGGGGGCATCTCAGGAGGCAGCCACGGTCGAGGGTGGCTGTGTCCAGGGCCTGGCTTCCCTTGGGTGGCCTCTGTGGGAACCTGCCACACAGTCAGCGGCCAGCCCTGCCTCTGGATGCGTGAGCATGTGTCTGTCCCCTCACAGGTGAGGTGGTGTACAACGGCACACTCGGGGACACCTGCTATTTCGTGAACTGCTCGCTGAACTGCACCTTGGAGATCTATAACTGGTCCTGCCCGTCCACGCCCTCCCCAAAGCCCACGCCCTCCAAGCCGACGCCCACGCCCTCCAAGCCCACACCCACGCCCTCCAAGACGACGCCCACCACCAAGCCCCCCCCCGAGTGCCCAGACTTTGATCCTCCCAGGCAGGTCAGTGGCTGCAGGCAGCTCTGTCCCCATGTGCTGAGTGCAGCAGGTCCGGGCACCGAGGCCCCAGGCACCACTTCCTGCAGGTCGTCTGAGGGCCAAGGCCTCCTGCAGCCCCTTGGGAGGGGGGTCCACCCTCCACCTTCTCACTGTGCCTGGCGAGGTGGCTGGCTGCGGTGAGACCCGTGGAAGACACCTCGGCCTCCAGCCTCCTGACTCAGTGCCTGCCCCTGCCAAGCGCGGACCCCCCATCCTGTGCCCGTCCCGCTGACCGTCCCTGACCTACCCCCCCAGGAGAATGAGACTTGGTGGCTGTGTGACTGCCTCATGGCCACGTGCAAGTACAACAACACGGTGGAGATCACGGAGGTGAAGTGTGAGCCGCCGCCCATGCCCACCTGCTCCAACGGCCTCACCCCCGTGCGCGTCATGGATGACGACCGCTGCTGCTGGCACTGGGAGTGCGACTGTGAGTCCAGGGCCCCTGGGCCCTCCCCCCTCCTGCCCTCCCCCCTCCTGCCCTCCCTCCTCCTGCCCTCCCCCCTCCTGCCCTCCCCCATCCCCCATCTCCTCATCCCCCATCCCCCATCCCCCCATCCCCCATCCCCCCATCCCCCCATCCCGCCATCTCCTGCCCTCTGAGGCTGCATCTCCTCCCCTCCCCAAGTCTCCTGCCCTCTCTGTGGGTGGGGGCCGCAGGGCTCATCTCCCTGGGACAGAAGGGCTGCGGCTCCTTGGGGACAGACCCCATTCACTGAGGCCGGGTGCCGTCTGAGGGACTTCTCACAGTCCTGCCTTTGCCCCATTGTGAGGGGTGGCGGGCCTGGGCAGGCGGAGGGCTTGCCTGGTGGAGTTAGGGCCCCTCCCTGGAACAAGGGTGCTTCTGAGGCAAGAGGGGGTTGAGCTGGGGTTTGAACTCTGGTCTGGCCGCTGTGGGTGCTCCAGGGCCACTGCAGCTCTTACGTCCCCAGGCCCCCGCCCAGGAGCGGGTGTTCAGGCCCCAGCTTCCTGCGGCCTCTTCCTGACCGTGCCCCGGCCCAGCCCTTGCACCCGACTCTGGCCGGGGGGCACTGATGGCGTGCTCACTCGGGCTCCCTCGCAGGCTACTGCACGGGCTGGGGGGACCCGCACTACACCACCTTCGACGGGCTGTACTACAGCTACCAGGGCAACTGCACCTACGTGCTGGTGGAGGAGATCAGCCCCACCGTGGACAACTTTGGTGTCTACATCGACAACTACCACTGTGACATCAACGACAGGGTGTCCTGTCCCCGCACCCTCATCGTGCGCCACGAGACCCAGGAGGTGCTCGTCAAGACCGTGCAGATGATGCCCATGCGGGTGCAGGTAGGTGCAGCGCGGCCGCGGGTGGCTGGCACGGAGGCCCCGACGCGCCCTGGCTCCCCACAGGGCCAGAGGACTGTGCTGTGGGGTGCCAGGCACAGCCTCTCCCAGACCCAGGCTGGAGGGTGGGGCAAGGTGGGCGCCTGGCTCTCAGACACCGCAGCTCTTCCCACAGTCCTCCAGGGGCATCCTGGAGGGGCCCCCTGATCCCTGGCACGCCTGCCGTGCTGGGCACAGTCTCTGCAGCAGATGCTGCCTCCCAAGGACAGAGTTGGGGACGGGGCTCTGCACGCCCTTGGCTGAGCTGCTCCTACTTGCAAGGGAATCGTTGGTTCTGAGGCTCAGGAGGCCCAGGGAGCCTGGCCCCCTGCGAGGGGCTCCACAGTCCCGGGGGGTTCCCGGGAGAGCTCCTTCGCTGGCTCACCCCCGGGACCAGGGTCTGGTCAGGCGCAGTGGAACAGAAGAAAGGAAAGGGGCGGGAAAGGCGGGTAGGCAGGGCCCGCTCTCTGCAGGCACCCGTGGGAGAGCAGGTGGGGCGGGGCAGCTCTGGAGCTCTCCCCGGGGGTGGCGGAGGCGGGCGGGCCTCCGGGGCAGCTGCAGCTCCCCCACCTGGTGTGTCGGCCGCAGGTGCAGGTGAACGGTCAGGTGGTGGCACTGCCCTACAGGAAGTACGGGCTGGAGGTGTACCAGTCCGGCATCAACTACGTGGTGGCCGTCCCCGAGCTGGGCGCCCTCATCTCCTACAACGGGCTGTCCTTCTCCATCAGGCTGCCCTACCACAAATTCGGCAACAATACCAAGGGCCAGTGCGGTGAGTTCCGAGGCCCCTGAGGGCCCCGAGCCCCCACGGTGCCCTGTGTCCCCATGACCTGCCCCGGGGAGGGCAGCCAGGCCGGGCCGAGGCTGAGGCTGCCTGTGAGCATGGCGGACCTGGCCGCGGGCCTCTTGCCCCTCTGCTCGGGGCCACTGTGGCCGTCATCCCGGTTCAGGCCCTGCGAGGAGCCCACAGGAGGGGCCTGGCCTGGTCTCTGCCCTCGGCCCTGGCCAGCAGTCCCGGGCATCTGGGCTGCAGAGGGCAGGGCTCACGCTGTCTGCACCGTGGCCTCTCTCGCTGACCCAGGCACCTGCACCAACACCACGTCTGACGACTGCATTCTGCCCAGTGGGGAGATCGTCTCCAACTGTGAGGCCGCGGCCGACCAGTGGGTGGTGAACGACCCCTCCAAGCCACACTGTCCCCACAGCATCTCCACGACCAAGCGCCCGGCCGTCACGGTGCCCGGGGGCAGCAAGACGACCCCACACAAGGACTGCACCCCATCTCCCCTCTGCCAGCTCATCAAGGACAGGTAACCCTGCCCGGCCTGCCTGCCTGCCTCTCTGAGCCCCGGCCCCCAGCTCTTGCAAAGAGGGAGGAGGCAGCACGTGAGGCCTGTGTGGGGCTGGGGAGCCAGCAGGCCGTGGAACCAGGGTCAGGCGCTAGGTCAGCACGGGGTCCAGGGCCCAGGCCCTTGGGTTCCACGGGACTGAGCTGCCACGTCCGACGTGCCTGTGCCTTTATTGAGCTCCATGATCTGTCCCGCCTCCTGGGAAGGTTCAGGGCTGGCCGGGTGCGAGGCCTGGAGCAGACCAGTCAACCCAGGACAGAGCTCAGGGCTGACACTGGGGAGGCAGGTTTGGGCTTGACAGAGCAGCCATGGGGAGTCAGCACCCCGTCCCTGGAAGTGTGGGGGCCGTGGACAGGCTGGGTGTCTGTCTGCCAGGGTTGCTGGAGCTAATGGCCACACAGATGTGTGGCTTCTGTCCTGGGAACCGGGCTGCAGAGCCGCCTCATTCACCCATCCCTTATTCTGTCCCCAGCCTGTCCCGGCTGGGCTGTCCCTTGGGCCTCCGTCACCCACGGGCGCCTCTCTGGCGGGTGCTGGACTCCAGGAGGACGGGCTAGGTGGAGGTGCCAGGGTAGGGAGGGGGAGAGGTGGGCGCCGCCTGAGTGTGACTCTGCCCCTCCCTGCGCAGCCTGTTTGCCGCGTGCCACGTGCTGGTGCCGCCACAGCACTACTACGAAGCCTGCGTGTTCGACAGCTGCTTCGTGCCCGGCTCGCGCCTGGAGTGTGCCAGTCTGCAGGCCTACGCGGCCCTCTGCGCCCAGGCGGGCGTCTGCCTCAACTGGCGGAACCACACGCACGGGGCCTGCCGTAAGTGCCTGTCTGCCCCTGCCCTGGAGCTGGGGGCCTGCGGGCCAGACGTGCCCGCTAGGCTCTGCCGGGTGCTCTGTCCAGCCTGAAGCTAGACCCGGGTGGGCCGTGCCGGGCTCGCAGAGATGGCAGGTGTGAGACCAGGGCTGGGGCTGTGGGGTGGAAAAGGCCAGGCCGGAGCGGCTGAGGTGCTGGGGATTCTGTCAATGTCACTAGACGCAATTGGGTGCCCACCACCCCGCTCAGGGCAACCATGAAGGCAGAGGCTGACTCCCCAGGCAGCTGGCCACTGTCTGCCGCGTGTGGGGTGCTGGGCAGCTCTGTTGCTCGGGGGTGTCCAGACTCCTCACCTGACATGCGTGGGGCAGCCCTCTGACCTGGCCCTGTCCTGCAGTGGTGGAGTGCCCATCTCACAGGGAGTACCAGGCCTGTGGCCCTGCAGAAGAGCCCACCTGCAAGTCCAGGTATGTTGCTTGAGGGTCCACCAGGACTGTGGGCTCGCCACCGTAGTGCAGAGGGTGGCACTATCCGGGCAGAGCAGTCCCACCTGCCGGCTCCCGGCCCCACCTGCACCCATCTGACGGTGCCCCCCCAACTCCTCACCTGCACCCGTCCGACGGTGCCATCCCCCAGCTCCTCACCTGCACCCATGAGACAGTGCGCCCCCAGCTCCTCACCTGCACCCATCTGACGGTGCCCCCCCCCCCCCCCCCCCGCCCTGCCCCCGCCCCCGGCTGCCCCCCCCCCCAGCTCCTCACTTGCACCCGTCCAACAGTGCCCTCCCCCCCAGCTCCTCACTTGCACCCATCCAACGGTGCCCTCCCCCCCAGCTCCTTCCAGCCGAACAACACAGTCCTGGTGGAAGGCTGCTTCTGTCCTGACGGCACCATGAACTACGCTCCTGGCTATGACGTCTGCGTGAAGACCTGCGGTAGGCCACTGCTCACACTGCCCCTCCTGCCTCCCTCCTGCCTCCTCCTGGGTGCGACCAGGAGGTTGACCCCCCAGCCCCGCTCCCCCTGCACCAGGACTCCTGCCTCCTCCTGGGTGTCCACGGAGGCTGTGACCAGGAGGCTGACCCCCCCAGCCCTGCTCCTCCTGCACCAGCACTCTGCTAACAGGACTTCTTTCTTCCTTCTTCCTAGGCTGTGTGGGACCCGACAACGTGCCCAGAGAGGTAGGCCCCACTTGGTGCTGAGGGATTCTCCCACAAATTCTGAATTCTGAGGAGTGAGGGGGATGGACATGAAAACCTGGAGCCTCAAAGATTGAGAATTGAGATCATCTAAGTCCTGGATGGCTGAGTTGGCAAGGACATCACCTACTTACCCACCCATCCTTCCAACCACCCACCCATTCATCTGCCCACTCACCCAGGCACACATCCATCCATCCATCCATCCATCTACCCACCCACCCACCCACCCATCTACCCATCCACTCATCCACTCATCCATCTA